CGGGATGGCTTTTGGGGCACACGCACTGCCCAGCTGGCAAATCTTGGTTATTTTAATTTCTGTGGTCAGTTTGTCCAGAAACTTCCCCTCGAAGGTGACGCCGCTTCCGACTGGGAACCCACAAAAAAACGAGCGGGGGGGGGGGGGGGTTTTACCTTCCAGGCTGTGGCAGCAACAAGAAAACACAACACAGCGTTCAACGGAATGGGAGCTGTGGACAAGTCAAGAGAAGACCCACAACTTCCTTTCTGAAGCCGATTTTTCGGAGTATAAGATGCACCTATTCCCCCCCCTAAAAGAGGGTGGAAATTTGGGTGCGTCTGATACACCCACCCACTGTCCCCGTCCCCCTTTGGCCTCTGCCTCCCGGCAATTTACCTCCGTGTAGCCAACGGGGGAAAATGGGGCTTGCAGAGGCTACAATCGGCTACAGCAATCCCGGCAGCCTGAAACAGCTGATGATCAGGAAGGTTAAACTGAAAGTGAAACTTGCTGTTTGCTGCAAGGAGGCAAATGGCTGGGAGGCAGATTTCCCCCCTTGCTTTCCTCCCACAAAAGCTAGGCGAGTCTTATACTTCGGAGCATCTTATACTCCGAAAAACACGGTAACTCTCCGTCTTCGGGTCGGTTATCAGCGCAGGAAAGACAAGATAACAGGGGGCTCCGCATGCATTAGGGGACACCTGGGCAGGTGACACACAGCCACCGTGACCGATCCCCCCCCACAAATCCCCATCCGCCTCCTGACGAGGAGGGAGAGCTCCCCCCCTCCCCCGCCCACCCGCGAAGAAGGAAGCCCAGCGGGGGTCCCGGGCGGGCGTTTACCTCCTCCTCGTTCTCCACCTTGGGGTTGCTGGCGGTGCGCTTCAGGTTGCTGCCCAGGCTGACGCTGACGGTGGCGTCCGACTTGGAGCGCTGGTGAGTCCGCTTGGTGGGGGAGAGCCCGGCCTCGGGGGCCGGCCCCAGCGGGGGGAGCTCCCTCTTCCGGGCGGCCGGCTTGAGCTCGTCGGAGAGGATGAGCTTGCGCAGCTTGGTGCCGCGCGAGTGGCGCTGGGTGGAGATGTGCATGTCGGAGGAGTAGGCGCCCAGCAGCAGGGCGCACTGCAGGGAGAAGTTGATGCTCTGCCGGCAGCGGTGCACGATGTAGGGCTTGATGGCGTCGCCCACGTCCTCGTCCATGTGGATGTACATGTTGAGCAGCTGCGGCAGGTAGAAGCCGACCTCCTCGTGGCGGAAGTAGAAGAGCCGGTTGCCGATGTAGGCCTGCACGCCGGGCTCCTTGGAGTTGTAGAGGTAGGAGATGGCCATGGAGATGTCGAAGAGCTTGGACTCGAAGAGCCGCAGCAGCCACGACTGCTTGGCCGAGTTGTTCTTCTGGCGCAGCCGGACGCCCTTGACGGAGTTGGGGGGCTGCTCGTCCTCCTCCCAGATCTTCTCGGGGGGGTCGTCCAGGCACTTGATCTCGCAGCAGTCGCCGTTCAGCCCCGGCCAGCGGCCCCCGCCCTTCCTGTCCTTGGCCCGGATGGAGCCGTCCGGCGAGACGCAGTGCATCAGCTTGACCTTCTCCAGGACCTCCTGGCAGGCCTTCTGGGCCACCTCGGGGTCGATCACGGCCAGCTCGCCCACCCCTTCCGTGATGACCCCCAGGGCCGGCCCACCGCTGTCTCCCGGGGGCGCCACGGGGGCCGAGGTCTCCGCTGGGGTCTCCTCTCCCGGAGGGGGGTCTTCTGCGGTGGAGTGACTCATGTCCACTGGTGGGCCTCTTTCACAGCTGGAAAAACAGGAGAAGGTGTGGCCTCTGTTTTAGGGGCTTCAAAGAAAGACCCAAACCCACTTTTGCCACCCAGAGCCCGGAGGGATTTCCCAGGACAACCGGAGATCATTTTCCAATTAGAAAGAAAGAGAAGTGGGGAGAAGGAACAGCAGAGGCCTCTAGAAGAACTCTTGGCTCCCGCTTAGTGACCAGGCTGAAGGTCTCGGCCACTTTAAGACTGGTGGGCTTCCACTCAAGGCTTCCTGCCTGAGGAATTCTGGGAGTTGAAGTGTTGAAAGGTTGGAGACAAAGCAAATTCACATTCGCTCGGAAAATACACAGGAAGCCAAATCTGCACCCTGGCTGGGGACGGACTCAACTTGGCCAGGTCTGAAGGGGGCCTGAGAGCACCAGAGGGCAGGACTCTGGACCAGAGCTGATGGGGGGGGTGTCTTCTAGAGCCCCCTCCCCCCCAAAAAGAGTCAACAGTTTGATCCCATTTGCAACCTCCTGTCGTGGCATCCTGGAGATGCCACTTACGGCTTCTGCGCGTGGCTGTGGTCACTCATCCCCTCCGGAGGATCCTGAAAAGGTCCCAAGGGCAGGAACCCCCCCCCCCATTGTCTCTCTCTCCCTCTCTCTCTCCCTCTCTCTCTCTCCCTCTCTGTCTGTCTCTCTCTCTGTCTGTCTCTCTCTCTGTCTCTCTCCCTCTCTCTCTCTGTCTCTCTCCCTCTTTCTGTCTGTCTGTCTCTCTTTCTCTCTCTCTCCCTCTCTGTCTGTCTCTCTCTCTGTCTGTCTCTCTCTCTCTCTCTCCCTCTCTCTCTCCCTCTTTCTGTCTGTCTGTCTCTCTTTCTCTCTCTGTCTCTCTCTCTCCCTCTCTGTCTGTCTCTCTCTCTGTCTGTCTCTCTCTCTGTCTCTCTCCCTCTCTCTCTCTGTCTCTCTCCCTCTTTCTGTCTGTCTGTCTCTCTTTCTCTCTCTCTCCCTCTCTGTCTGTCTCTCTCTCTGTCTGTCTCTCTCTCTCTCTCTCCCTCTCTCTCTCCCTCTTTCTGTCTGTCTGTCTCTCTTTCTCTCTCTGTCTCTCTCTCTCCCTCTCTGTCTGTCTCTCTCTCTGTCTGTCTCTCTCTCTGTCTCTCTCTCTCTCTCTCTCTGTCTCTCTCTCTCCCTCTCTTTCTGTCTGTCTGTCTCTCTTTCTCTCTCTGTCTCTCTCTCTCCCTCTCTGTCTGTCTCTCTCTCTGTCTGTCTCTCTCTCTGTCTCTCTCCCTCTCTCTCTCTGTCTCTCTCTCTCCCTCTCTTTCTGTCTGTCTGTCTCTCTTTCTCTCTCTGTCTCTCTCTCTCCCTCTCTTTCTGTCTGTCTGTCTCTCTCTGTCTGTCTCTCTCCCTCTCTCTGTCTGTCTCTCTGTCT